TAGTATTATTCATACACACAGATAATAAAGATATATTATTAATAATAAAATACCACGTCTTTAAGTAGAATTTTCTTTTTTTTTGAATTATGCAAAGTAACAAAACAAACATGCACCGAAGTTTTAACACAAGCGTAAGTAGGTAGGTACCTACCGTATCATGATTCATTCAGAACCGCATGTAACTCCCTATTTCATTCGTCTCAATAACTTTCCGTTACTCTATTTGCTTTATTTATTCATCCAAACACCTTTTTTTTCGTGAGATAAAAGGAAATACTTATCCATTAAAAAGACACACATTATGTACCTACGTACTAGTAACTAAAATTATTTTATAGTCTTACTTTTCAGAGTTTCCAGGTAATTTAAAAAAACTTATGTCTGGATGCGTTATTGACGAATTCATACAACCAAAAACAGCACAATATTTCCTACTCGTCATATTAACTGATTTTTAGAGAAAAAATCGCGCGGTTATTGTTAAAAAAACAACACGCAGTCCGTTCGACACTGCGGTACAGCCGTGACTGTCTGCGCCCCGAGCACACCCCGAGATCGAGGCGCGTAGGTATAGCTCCCGTTTCGTCCGTTTGTATGAAGTTGCAGTACTGTATTATAATAGTACCGTGCTTCGGCTGTCGGCTCCCGCGCTTATCGTTGTCGTCAGTATTCGGGTATAATCGGCAGTGTTCGTTGCCTATAAATCCACCCAATTACAATAGTCAGAAATATAATGAATCATGTATGCGGGTTATGAATTTTGAATATGGTAAGGTTTTATTTGTTTAAATAGCAGATATGTTTTATTTGAAAGTGTGTACATTTAAAAGTTTATTACTGAGATCCGTTGATTTAAAAAAAATGTAATTTGATTGTGAGGTATGTGTGGAAAATTTGTGTATAATTTAAATTAAAAATAACAAGTTCTCACAATTGTCATTCAGTGAAAAGATTAAAATTGTGTCTAAAGGTCTGTAACTATCACTCACTTGGATAAGATATTTGAGGTGGCCGAAATCTTGCGTTTATTTACATTGGGATATAGTAATCTCAAGTATTAAAGTAACATATTCAATGTTAAGGATTGAATATGTGAATATCAGAAAATTGAAGATGACCAGGTGAGTAGTTATAATATTTTAGCTTATTATTTTACTTATTAGAATTTCCTCCGCCGCGATCTATTGCCGATCTATCGCAGTTTTGTCAGTGTTCCCGTTGAAGATGTACATGAATAGTAGTACATCTAAGACTTGTTCTGTTGGCATGGTTTCCGACTTAGAGATCCATCGCGTGGCTGTGGCTAAGCTAAAAATCTATAAAAGAAAAAGTTTTTGTGACCGACTACTCTGCCGCATACCTAGTGTCATAATCCTGTGCACTGTGTAGTGGGATAGTATCGGAATTCATAGAAAAAAACTTTGATGAAAGACCGGGAGTATTAACCATTAGCGTACAACCCAGTAGTATCTAGTTAATAACTTGGCTTGTATATTTGGACTGTAGCGTTTTCTATTCGTGACTAACCATTGCTAATTGGACTTTGATTTCTGCTTCTGATACTGTTGAAGATGACAACCTATACATAATATGTAAAACAGAAGCGAATATCAATACTCTGTTGTAGGTAAGCACATACAAGTTCTCTTCCTCTTTTTCTACTTCTCATTTAGTTATAATTAACTAAAATAAATCCTTAGATAAAAGCGAACAACAGGTGTTAATTACCTATAAAGTAATTAAAACTTTCAGTTCGAGAGTTACTAAACTAATTGAAATTAATAAATGTTACAATCAAACAATATTCCTGCTTTAAATTAAAAAAAAAGAGTTCAAATAAAAAGGGTTTTGAACCTTTATATAAATTAAACTTTTAACACTACGAATTCTGTTCGTTGTCGGAAAATTTAAAAAATAAATAAATTTAAATTAACTTTTTTTCTACAACTGTCTACTTTTTTTTTCTATTGTTAAGAGTGAGTTTTCGAATGAAATATTAGATAAATGGTTTATTTTGTCAAATACCTTGCGATATCTAATTAAGTATCAATAACCTATCTTGTATGTATAAAAACGACTGCGTCGCCCAGCTTTCCACCTCGCGGCCGGCGCGCTGATCTTGCAATTCTGGCTGTGGCTGGAGCGCGTACGTACTGCAAGCTTACACCTCAAGGGCAACGCGTGGTTAGCGCGTTGGCGGCTACCGGTAGCTAAAATTTGAGACAGTGATACGACTGGGACAGTTGGCGCACCATGGAGGAGGCTTTTGTCCAGCAGTGGATGGCGATAAGCTGATGATGAACATATCTTGTAAAGAAAAAGTTAAACTTGCTATAGCAATATATAGCAATAACGTTTTGAATATCGAACGAAGTCTTTAAAACAAATGCAATGAGATTATTTTAAATGTTCGTCTTTCATCCATTTGTTATAATCAATAATAAGTATGAGTTTCGAGAGGCAAAATTCCAGAAGAATCGGGCTATTTTAACATCAATCATTACTATGTATTCCCGCTGTTTGTTTTGTCTTTTACACGTTTTATATAAGCTTGACCTATAATATATATTTAATTTTGTTTAACAGAAGACATACAAGATTTACGTACCTATATGAAGATGCAATTTAAATTACTACATTGCATCATGGCCGTATTTACCCACCAAAAGAAAGAAAACCCATCGAAATGTTTTTTAATACGATTTTTTCTTTAAGTTCTTGTACAAATTTCAAAGTAAATCAGATGTCTTAAAGTTGGCAAAAAAAAAATAGTTTGAAAGATCCTGTAACTCGACCTGATTGTTGTTTAAAAACGCCTCAAACTAAATAGACTTTTTTATTTTAGAGTGTCTATTTCGGTCCACATTCTTACATAAAATGAGTGGAGAGTTTAGAGTTTTTTAGCTATAAATCTCAGACGCTTCAAAAAAGAACTAGACTACATTTTAAACCATAAATCACATTCTTACAAATAAGTATATATTTTCAGTAACGGACGTCAACTTCATTCGCCAACTATTCTTGCTCAGCGGCCGCGGTATATTAGCTTACAGATCAACTTGTACCAAGTTAGATTGCCAATCAGACTTACACAATACTACACATTTGAAGTTTATCTTTAGTCTTATTCTGATCGCAGAGGTTCAATATCGCTTCTGCGTAGAAAGGCTTAACTATAACGATCTGAACGTTCTTTTGAAAATAATATTTTCATGTCTAAACGTAAACTGTTTCTAATGATTTTTACCATATTATTTAGAATTATATCTTTGGTTTTGCAATAAATAAAACAAAGACTCAAGAACGGCTGAGCCCGTTTAAAGGGTGTTTGAGTTAACATTCTAGGAAATACCGAAGTCGGCAGAAGAATGTAAAGAAAGACGGCGGAAAAAGCGTGGAAATGAGATTGGAAAGATTATCGAAATGACGACCGACACGATCTTCAATAAAAGTGCGTACCCCTACGTCAAGGGCCGGTAACGCACTTATGACTTGCCTGATTCAGTTGCCGCGTATGGGCGGTAGTAATCACTTAATCATTGAACCCGCCTGTTAGATTACCCATTCACCCCGTTAGAATTATTTTTTTCAACTACCGAGTGTTTGCAGTGGCAATGCATTTCACATACGTATGGCTTACACAGTAAAGACTTGTCTATAAATCTTTGAATCAGTTTAAATGTATTCATCATCAGCCTATCGCAGTCCACTGCTGGACATAGGCCTCTCCCATTGCACGCCACTTAGATCGATTTTGGGCTTAAGTGTATTAATACCCCTTATATAGCATATCTTAGTAAAGATTTTACTACATATTAACCAGAATAAGCCACTTTATTGACAAATGAATGGCAGTAGGTACACAGTGAAGATTCCAATTTCACGCATTACTGCATGTCTGTTGGTTTCATGGGCTGAGGTAAGTAACCCTCTAACTTTGAAATTCCTCGAACGAAAAGTTTTGGCTTACCAGTCCTAATAAAATACTTCTGAATGTGAATTTGTTTCGGTCTCATATATTAACAACTAAACTGATGATCAATTTTTCAGGTTCATACCAAACTAAATAACAGTAAACTTTTCTATAGAAATGTAAGCCGCTGTTTATTTTCCCTCATAGAATATGACCTTATTTTTTAATATTTATTTGTAAATAACTAAAAAGTTGACAAATTTAATATTCAATTTTAACTTATTTATAATATTCGTGTCTAAATGAAACTTGACAACAGCACTGGAAAAAGAAGGAAAACTTGACACAGACCCTATACTAATACGTATGGCCAGCGTGCTAAGTAGGCCAAAACCTACTTTCTAAGGAGAGGCCTATGTCCAGCAGTGGATTATTAAAGGTGGATGATGATGATGAAATGAAACTTTGTATAACTATGTAGTTCGGATGACAATACTAAAATTTGGTATCATGGAGCTGATCTGTTAATCAGATCAGAAGGTGGTAAGTGGATTCCGTCATTAGTTAACCTTTAAAGTCCAGGCTCTTGTAATTATAATTCGCTGTGATAAAACAGATCTAGCTTGGTCTGATGATGATGATGAAGGAGAACTCTCCTATGCTTTTATGTAGTACCTACTAAGCTATTCATATTTAAACATCTTAGTAAAACAGGTTTTGTCAGGGAAAAATACACTTTATTTAAATAATTGTAATTATATAAATGTAAACAATGTTTTAAATTCTGATATTTTAAGGATTCAATGGCAACTTTGTACTAGATGCTAAGGATTTGTAGTCACGAACTCAATCTGATTATATTGTCCTTAATACTTATTTTTGACTTAATCAAATCTTATCGGTCTAGATTTTGATATTGTGTAAAAAATTATGGGTAAATGAAAATACTCTATAGATAATCGGAACATATAACTAAGATGTTTGATCATCACCGCAAGTCACAAGAGGATAAAATATAACATTGGGTTCTATAGAAATATTATACGGCATGGTTTTGAAGTTAATAAACCGATAATAAGATTACCTATATAAGTCTTTTCCTAGTTTTCGTTTTACAGCAGCAGCTCGAACTCGATCTAGGCGGAGGCATCGGAACGGGAGGCAATTGGGTGTTAGGATTCGTACCGGGCCTATACCCGCGTTGAACACCTCCACTGACATCGTATAGTGGTTGTGGAGCATTTTGAATATTAGTCATCAAGCTATTAAGTTGATTTGCGAGGAGTCCTATCGTAGTGCACATATCCTCTACGGCACCAAATGAGGGCGAACTGCTGGAAGGAGCGCTGCAACAGTCACCGTCACTTTTAGGAGCGGATGTGGATGAACATCCAGAAGTACATTTGTTTGGGTTGAAACAGCTATCTGATCTAGAAGGTGCAGGTCTCGGTTGTGGCGGCAGGGGTACACACGGCTTCATCGGAGGTAGTGGTAAATTTACGTAAGGAAGCTGAGGTACGCTGTGTTGTTTGCAGCTGGTGCCACATGTGCTAAGAGGACATGTCGGTTTAGGAACTGCTCGTCTTTCATTATCGTTTATTGGACACCTCATATTTTCACATTTTGGAGGTCGATTTGCTGGACACTGTTGGTTGCTGCAGCTAAATGGTTGGTCTGTTCTATATTCCTTTGGCATAATAGTCTTGCAGTCGGGACACGGACATGTCACTTTGATGACACCATTCTTTATATCTTTGACTTTGCCGGGTGTGTAGTTTAAACAGTTGTAGTGCACCCAACTTTGGCAGGCTCCTTGACATTGTAAGCCGTTCCTCTTCGTTACAGTTCCTAGACAAATTTTACATGGGCGTTTTACTTTGGTACACTTTGACATCTTGGCAGTTTTGGTTTGGTTAACTTTTAAGTTGAAATCATGTTTTGGTGTTATTTCGGTTGTTATGGATGGTTGTTTATATTTTCTATGTGCGGGTTGTCATCGTGGAGCTTAAACCCCGATTTTAATTTCTGTAAAATTTAGTTTACGCTGTCAACCTCATCTTCAAATATTATGTAGTATCTTCTGCGTTGACGTTTATGTTGTCACTCAGATATTTCTGAAATAAGAAATGACACATATTTTTTATGCCAAATCTTTGTTACTTTTGTTAAACGAACTTTTTTGATAAGATGTCTCTAAATATGGATCACATCACGATGTTCTATACCTACTAATATTATATATAATATTATAAATGAGAAAGTATATCTGTCTGTGTGCTTTCACGGCTTAACCACAGAACCGATTTTAATGAAATTTGGCAAGAAGATACTTTCATTTTTGAGAATTCATATGCTACTTTATATACCATGATAACCGACTGTCATGCCGGTTATCACGGTATCATGCGGAGCCGTGCACAAAAACTAGAAGTAGGTAGGTAGTAGGTAGATTAGTTTACTTCAGTAATTAATGTTCTAAAATTATACTAGTAAATTCATTTAAAAAAAGGTAGAAAAAGCCTTGTGGTGCCGTGGGACGCCCGATAGAAACGAAGTTCATTTTGCTATTTTACAAATATTTCATTTATAAATTTTGGTCAAGGTATTATTCAAAATAATAATAATTTGCGTATACTTTTTATGTGTAAAAAAAGTTATGAAAGTGTCCGAAAAAAGTCTTGTTACACATTTTTAGATCTCGCTCCCATCCGCTCAGAGGGTGTAACGCACGATAAGGAACTTCGTTCCAAAACATTTAGTTTATACACACACAAATTCAAATAGTGAAGGAGCCATCTTTCCGCTAAAATGGGCCGGCTCGACTGGAGTGATAGCAAGCAGAAAATCGGTGAGCAATTCATTTTGTGGTTTTTCACCGAGTAGGAGTAAGTAAGGTTCCCGGAGCCCAAATACATCTTCTCTGTGAATTTGGCGATAGGACTCTAGGCTTGTTGGTGTCCGTGGGCGGCGGAAACTAGTGTTCGTTAACAATACCAATACTAAAACGGGTAATCAATTCGCACTTATCCATAACACACATATGAGGCTTGAGATCATCGGAAAATCTGACACTAGAAATTTCAACACTCTCCAACTTTTACTGATATATCTTTTACAGTATAAGTAGCACGCCTATGGAATTCCTTACCGCAAGCTACGAGTATAAGGCGGGCCCAATCTGTGAGTACCTTTAAAAACTCATCAACGATCACTATTAATCCATGTAATAACTATGTGTTATATAGGTATGTGTGTGTATATTTATATGAATATAATTATGTAAGTGTGTAAATGTACGTATAACTGTCATGTTAAACTCATTAATAAATGTTCATTCTGAATTCGCACCACAAACTACAAATTACTGTACAGAATAGTCCATCTAAAGGTTGCCTGTAAGAGATCGCAGCCTGCAATAAGCATTGTACCACTGTTTTTTTTGTTTGTATTCTTCACTCTCCTTTTTACCTCCTCACAGAATTATTTCTGAGATAAAAACTATTCTGTCATTTACCGGGACTTTCGAAATTTCCTCTAAATCGGTTTAGCGGTTTAAGCTTAAAAAGGCAACAAACAGACACTCTTGCATTTATAATATTAGTATGGATTCACAGAAAAATGTTTGTACACAGTGTTTCAGTATATTATGAAACGTCTATCAATTTAAAAATAACTCAATTATTCTTAAATTTAGTATGTGTGATGTATTTGAACTTGATCAATTTAAACTCTAAGGGTGGTACAGTACACCTGTACATGTATGGATTTAAACGGTGAAACAGTCTGGTGTTCTTTATTAGAAATAAATTAATACAATTTTTTTTAGAAACAGTTACATATCTAAACATTTTATAATTCGCATTAGTGTTTGTTCTTAATTATTAGATAGGCTATTATTTAAAAAACAGTCGTTTACACTGAAATACAGTTAGGTTTTTAGGTCCATACAAGGATTTAAACTTCTGTTACCAACTTTTTTTTTTGTCTTTGTAACACTAGTGGCATTTTGGTTTTTCTTGGTCCATTTTTACCGGCAAGAGCTTTGCATCTTCTTCATGAGATCATTGAGTTGAGTCGTGAGAATTCCAAGAGTGTTACACATATCTTCAACGCCACGCATTTGAGGCCCGCCGGTACCAGAACCCTTATAGCAGTCAGCCGGGTTAGGCATTGGCATTTGAACAGGTGGTGGTGTACATCCAGTGTTGCATCTGTTTGGATTTAAACAACTGTCTGCCGGCATCGACGGACACATAGGTTGCGGTGGCAGGGGTACACACGGCTGCATAGGAGGTAGGGGTAAGTGGACGTAGGGAAGCTGTGGAGTGCTGTGTTGCTTACAGCTATTACCACACTTATTAAGAGGGCAAGTTACTTTTGGAACTGCACGTCTTTCACTATCATTTATTGGACACCGCGGGTTTTCACATTTTGGTGGACGATTTGCTGGACATAGCTGATTACTGCAGCTAAAAGGTTGATCTGTTCTATATTCTTTCGGCATAATTGTCTTACAGTCGGGGCATGGACATGTTACTTTTATGACTCCCTTCTTTATATCTCTGATTTTACCAGGTGTGTAGTTTAAGCAGCTGTAGTGTACCCAGCTCTGGCAGGCTCCGTGACATTGTAAGCCATTTCTTCGGTTAACAGTTGCCAGGCAAATTTTACATGGGCGTTTTACTTTGGTACACTTTGACATCTTGACAAATTTGTTGTATACTACTTTCAACAGAATATGATTATTTGAAGTGTCATTTCGGTTATTTAGAACGGTTTCATTTTCTATATGCAGTTTAACATTGTGGAGAGTGTACCCCGACTTTCCTTTTTGTAAATTAATTTATTTCCTGCTATTGACTTTACCTTCAACTCTGGGACATTCTGTTGACATTTAAAAATACAGGGAATTGATGTATGTCAGATTTTTTTTAAACAAAACTCTTTGTCACTTGCTTTCTTACCTCTTGCGAAACGAACTTTTTACATATCTGTCAAATTTTATCATCATAATCTGTACACAAGTTAACTAAAACTAGGAAAGTATACTCTTGGTTGTAACAAAATAGACACAAAGCTAAATTGATATTTCTAAATATCTTCATGAGCAGTACCTATTAGGATACGAACACAAACTTGAGGACAAATAAGTAGTAAAATATTATAAGTCGCATTTTTATTTGTACTTCTTTCTTAGTTAAGACTATTACTATTTTAAAAACAGTCGAATACACTGAAACACTAAGTTTTTGAAATATATAAAACAATCCATAATTTGTTAACAGTGTATAAGAAGATACATTTCTAACATTCTCTTTTGGCTTTTGAGCGGCAGCAACAACCAGGTTTCGAAGATCGGGGGGGCATTTGGGTTTTCGCTGTTTTATTACAACAAGAACTTCCATCTTGGTTTTCACTAGTTAAGTTTTGAATCTTACCCATAAGATCATTAAGTTGACATGTGAGAAGTCCTATAGTATTACACATATCCTCTATAGCACGCATTGATGGCGCCGCACTAAGAGAACCCTTTCCACCGTCACCCGGAACGTCACGTCGAACTTCAGAAGAGGATGAACATCCGGAGGAACATCGATTTAGACTAAAACAACTGTCTGACTGAGTAGGTGGAGGCTTAGGTTTCGGTGGCAAGGGTACACACGGCTTCATTGGGCGTTGTGGTACATCAGCGTAGGGGAGTTGAGGTGTACTGTGTTGCTTACAGCGGGTACCACACGTGCTAAGAGGACAAGTCTGCTTAGGAGCTACTCGCCTTTCACTGTCATTTATTGGACACTTCATATTTTCACACGTTGGCGGACGATTTGCTGGGCACTGCTGGTTACTGCAAGTAAATGGTTGCTTTGTTCTATATTCTTTTGGCATAATAGTCTTGCAGTCGGGACACGGACATGTTACTCTGATGATACCATTCTTTATATCTTTGATTTTGCCGGGTGTATAGTTTAAACAGGTGTAGTGCACCCAACTCTGACACGCTCCTTGACATTGTAAGCCGTTTCTCGTTGTTACAGTTCCCAGACAAATTTTACATGGGCGTTTTGCTTTGTTACACTTTGACATCTTGACAATTTGGTGTTAAGCTACTTTCGGTAGAATATCATCTTCTGAAATTTAACGGTGTATCTCTTTTTATATCAAAGTTATCATTTCTGAGAGAAATAGTTGGTGTTTCTTGATTTTGTAATTTTAATTCATGTTGTTGAAATCCAGGAAGTAAGGGTTGATAGATATATATAAATGTCAAAAATGTTGTCACTGGTTATTTTTTTTAAGAACTATCTTTTTGCATTAGATCTTTTATGTAAAGGTATAAATTAGTTGTGTAAATATTTTTTGGAAAAGTAATAAAATCAGGCAACACTGTTGGAAAGGGAAGAATATATAGTGGAATTAACAGGAAAAATAAATTACAGTAGGTCCTAGTTACGAGGGTGAAACGGGGTGAACTCTTAGATGAATAGACTTCCTATCGAAAGAGGTAGAATGTAACAGTTAGCTTTAGAGATATACCACTCGCGATAATATTTTCTTTTTAAACTATTTTTTTAAATAATTTAAAATGTGATAAACCAAAATAATAATAATATTGAGAATTTATTTAATGAAGTAACTAGGACTCGCTAGGACTATTTAAGAAATATTGTTGGCAATGGTAACGATAACACTAAATTAAAATAAGTATAGGTTTTTTTTTAAATTTGTTTTACCAATTTACTCTGATAACACACATTTACAAGACAGAATATAAACCAGTGATCAAAATAATTACAAATATTTGTCATAACGTTTTTGTAATAACGTTTACGTGCGCTTACATTGCAAACGCTGGCTAAACCTTAAGAGATAGACCAAAATAATTTACTGCGGAATTATATATCTTAAAAAGATACACAAAGAAGTCTGAAATGGTATATGTCTATCTCCTAAGGATAACCCACAGTAACCATTTTTATATTTTAAATAATTCCAAAAAATAATGGGTTATTTACGAAGCTATTTTGAACAATGCAGTGTTATTCCTTTTCCAAATAAATACATTTGATATAGGTATTGTGCATGTAATGTAGATCAAAATTGCGTTTTGACAGCATATCATTGATGTAAATATCTTAGTAGATATTAGACGGCACAACGCGGCCCTCGCCGTCGCCGCGTCGTGCTGTACATCCGTCCCGGGTGACAGCGGCCAGCAGGAGCGAAGCGGGCCTATATATATTGCATATAAAAATGTCCTGTGGTATAGTCTTATCATAATAATAGTATAATTATCTATTTTATTATGGACAGTCATGTAATCAGGCTTAGAATGGTGTCGGAGCTGGATCACACCCTGCGCACGAGGAGCATAGAATGATTTTACATACCTTTCCCAAAGACAGCACGTGTATAAAGTTGTACAGAGGCTCGAAAGAGCTTAAGTTTTACACACAGTGATGTTCAAACCTATGTTTGCCCTGATGGACAATTCTCTTCGTTCTTGCTCAATGCTGAGGTCATCAGTTAGTTAGTCGAAGATTGATGACCGTGATAGTTAAATCTAAACACTTAAAAACTAAAAGTTAAACTTTCCAAAGGTATACTGTTATGAATTTTTGTACTTCATAATATTCTTACCTTTTTTTTCTAAATTTATTTGGGGTCAGCGCAAGGAGTTTCCTTCTTACATTCTCCTCTATCACTCGTCACTTCACTGCTGACTCTTTTTTTAGCCATACCCTCTTTCACGCAATCCATCCATCTTTTCTTTCGTTATCCTCTATTCTTATATCCGTCAACTTCATACAACTATTTTCACTACATTTTGCTCATCTCTACGCATCACATGTCAATATAAGGATAAACCCTATTGCTTCTCAACTGTTTATTTACTGGTGCTACTTTCAGGCTCCTGTGAAGTAATCATTTCTGCTCATGTCCATCCTGGTCACATCACACATACATTATTTTCGTTTTTTTTTTTAATTATTTATTAAAGATTTACCAACAATTGTTTACATCGACTTTTAAAAGTAATACTTGCTTATGTTTTTAATAACAATGCAACAGCCGCTAAGTAAACACCGCTTATGCTTTAGAAATTGATAAAACTGAAAAGTAAAACAACAAATGAAAAAATCTCACACAGTTGGAGTATTAAAACAATATTATTTATTATTACGGACGTACAGTGACGGACGAATAAACACGGCATTTTTCTTACGAATTGTATCAAAGTGTAAATCAATGAGATCGCTGTAGTGACTGTACAATCTCCAATCGATTCACATAGATTGTTTAGTAGAAAGTCAGACTGATGCCTACAGGCAATAGTCTAACTTTAGCAATATCCCTTGCCTCTTTATGTCTATTGACTTGAATTCTCTAAGTACCCGCGTGGCCGTTAGAGCCTTACCGTTTAGTGAAAGTTCTAAATATAATTATACCATATTGATGTTGAAATGCCATTGCCATGCGCCTTCAGGGACACAGGCATCGGTATATGTATGTATGTTTATCAATTAGCCTAAAGCATTAGTCGAATAGTCCATTGTTGAATAAAGGACCTGCGCCTCTCTCAAAATGCGCCATCATCTTCAACCTATGCTTATCCGCCATAGTACTTACTAAATGTTTTTTTTTTATTTCAATAAATAAAATCGGTATATCAATCAGTCTTCTACTTTTAAGTTTTTGAGTTGCCCAAACTGTGTAGAAGCACCATGCCAAGAAAAGAATAAAGAAATGGTTTTCAGAATTCGATGTTTAGCTTTCGCTAAGCAAAGTTTTTTTTTATTCTACCACAATCACACAACGCCATCTAGTCCCAAACTAAGCAGAGCTTGTACTATGGTTACTAGACAACTGATATAAATACATATACTTTTTTTTTGTAAATACATACATATTACACATAGAAACATCCAGACCAAATCAAACATTAAAAGTTCATGCGCACAAATGGGGGGGAATCGAACCCGCGACTTTAAGAACAGCAGTCCATAACACAAACCACTATGCCATCCGGTAATCGAGTATTTGTATGTTATTATACGTCTAAGAGTCTTCTTTTGAAACCAGCACTAGAAACGAACATTTAATAAAATGAGCTGTACCGAGCATTAACAATATAAAAATAAACTTTTGACTGCACGGATGGCGTAGTGGTTTAAGCGGTCGCCACGCCGCTTCCTACTACGCCAAGTGTTGTGGGTTCAAACCCCACATGGGACGACACTTTGTGTGATCCACAAATTGTTGTTCTGAGTCTGGGTGTTCTTTGTGTCCGTTTCATGTATGTTTGTAAAGTCCCCCGCGACACAGGATTATTCCTAATGCGGGCGTTGTCTTATAAAAAAAAAAAAAATTACAAGTTTTGGAATATGATCGCGGTAAAACGTAGCCTTTGTCTCTCTTCAAGAATCAAATTATCTTTATACCAAATATCATTTAAATCAGTTCAGTGGTTATTGATATGATTTTATTCGTCATTTTACACTGCGGTAGGCTTTACTTTCTCCATAAAATTCTTGATTTGGGTAGTAAGTTTCCCCACGGCATGGACCATATCTTGAAGAGTTGTCATCAGCAAATCACTCCTGCGTCTCGGCACCTGGGTCGCTGATGTTGATTTTCCATAATACACGTCAGTAGCTTTGTGATCTGAAATCGAATCATCATTTAGACCCCACGGATTATTAATGATTATATTTATGACCCCAAGCGTTCTTCTAAAAGTCAAGAACTTGGATGGTAATAAAGTTTAAATCAAAGAATGACACGTATATAGAACATGTAAAAACTATGAAAAATATGAAAAATCGTATGTGGAGCACTGTTTTATAGGCAACTTAACTCGCTTAATATAAAGTTATAAAAAAAAATTAACGAGCCCTTACGGTAGTCGTATATGATGTACCAGCATAACACCTGAAATTTTACCTATCATCTGAAAGTCAGCTGCAACTGCGCGCGCACATTGGCCGGACGAATGACGGCCGGATGGCGTAGTGGTTAGTGTAACGGACGCTATACCAAAGGTCACGGGTTCGACTCAAGCTCAAGATAAATATTTGTGTGCATGAACCTTTATTTGATTTGGATGGCGTAGGGGTTTTTGTAACGGACTCCTTTACATAAAGTCGCGGGTTCAACTCAAGTTCGAGTTAAACATTTGTGTGCATAAACCTTTGTTTGATTTGGTCTAGGTGTTTCTACGAGTATGTATGATATGTGTATTTACAAAAATAAAGTATATTTGTATATATAATTATATCAGTTGTTTAGTACTCATAGTACAAGCTCTGCTTAGTTTGGGACTAGAATGCGTCGTGTAAATGTGGTAGAATATATTATATTATACTAAATTTTCACCGCGGCTCCGCCCGCGTGTATGTCAGTTATCGCGGTAGAAAGTATTCTTTGTCTTTCTTCAATAATCGTTGTGGTTATTGATTCACCTTAAAAACTGCCACCCCCTTTGAACCCACTTAAAGGTTTTTTCTGGATAAAAACTACCCTATGTCCTTTACCGGGACTTGGACCACCTAAATTTAATTTAAATCGGTTTAGCAGTTCAAGCGCGAAGAGGTAACAGACAGACAGACAGACAGACCGACTCACTTTCGCATTTATGATATTAGTATGGATTATTATTGGTCAAATAAAATGGCGCGTATTTTTCCGGCTATTACGAAATCACATGCCCAAGTACACTTATGGTATAATATCATAATTTATCTATAATATCAGCTAGTCACTGTAGAATTTAGTTTAACCTACCAAGAGGCTTAACTTTATCTTTCAATAAATATCCTTAAAATGCATATTCTAATTTCAGAACAATATCTTCTACATGGGTTGATAACCGAACCTACATATGATATTAAATTAATAATAGGTCTTTACCAATGAAATTGCCGTTTTGTATGCAATAAGTGCAATGTCCGTGTGGTGACGGATTAAGAATACAGAGTGTCACCACCCCTATTCATCCCGTGGGTGTCGTAAGAGCCGACTAAGGGAGCGAAATACGCAGGACAACAGCACTGCAGAGAGAAGGAAAACTTGACACAAACCCTATACCAACCCGTCTGGCCAGCGTGGTATAGTAGGCCAAAACCTCCTTTTTAAGGAGAGGCCTATGTCCAGCAGTGGACTGTTAAAGGCTGTTGATGATGATGATGATGATGATGAAGTGCAAGCTTCTCCATCATTCTCTCCAGTTTTTCACAGTACACATCTGCATTAATGCTTAGTGGGTAAAAAATTCAATTCCCGAGAGGCAGTACAAAATGCCTTTGAAGAGTTTGTTGCCTCCCGTCCAGCTGATTTTTACAAGAAGGGCATCAATAAACTGCCAATGCGTTGGCAAAGATGCGTCGATTGCATGGGTGATTACTTCGAATAACAGAAATAAAAAAGTTTAAAAAATAAGTACTTTCACTTATTGCATACAAAACGGCACTTTCATATGTAAAGACCTAATATAAAAGTAAATCAATTCGAAGCAAAAACTTATCTCAACAATATTTCTGGAAATATCACCAAAGAGATTTTATAACAGAGTCGATTTATTTTATACTTCAAAACATTGGTACATACAATATTGAATCGTAAGTTTAAATTTTAAACTAAACATTTGAGTAACGATTCGCAATCATTGTATTGCTTCATAAAAAGCAAATAAGGTGTGGAAACAAATAAAAAAACAAACAAAAGAAAAGCATCAAGTTACGGTCTCTTATCTGAGCGTTTATTTTGTCAGTTGCACATTCAACGTTCACGCATTTCAACTTTTTTCATGAAAGACTTAATTTTTGAACTGAGTTGGTCGATAGCTGCATTCATTTTCTGCAGATTGGATACCATAGTTTCTTCTGGGTCATACGCGATCTGCGTGAGCGACGATGAAATGTACGTCTGACTGCACTGATAGTCTGTAATATACATAAAAATCTTGAACATTTTCGCATTTTGTACTACTGCCCAATCGCACTTGATTTTGATTCAAAAGACTTTTTGAATTGTCACGTAAATAAAACTACCCTTTTAACTTAATAAGTTCCTATTGCAAGACATCTAGATCTAAGATATATATCTTTAAAAAAAAAAATGCGATTGTATATTCAACGGTGTCATACGCCATAGTGTCATATTCCTGCATGGTCACCGAATTTGCGCAGGTATTCGATATTTAATTATTATTGGTTGTCAGGGACCGATACCATACTTGTATTACTCAAGTAGTAGGGACTTAATTATATGATGTTGTCCAGCCTTATTACCATTCAAATTTCAAATTCTGGATCTAAATTTGTTGTTGACTTTTGAATTTAATAAATGAATTTTGAAGGTATATGATTTGCGTACCAAAAGATGGTGAGTTATAAATGTTGTTGTCCCTTTCTTCAGGAATCTGAGTTGCTGAAGTAGCTTTCAATGCCGCCTCCTCTTGTGGAATATCTGAAAGGTATAGATGACCTCAAAGTGCTTTAATTCGCTATGTCATGAATGTAACTATTAGCGTAAAATTGTGATTTAACTATTTTTCTACTCAACATTTACTCTTTAAAAGTGCATTCAAAATTAAGAAGTTATTTATATACACAGGCTGGACTTAATTTTTAGATCAATTTAGAAATTGCAATTTGATTTTTTATTTCCAACTGATTTCACATACCCTCATCATATGCATTCATGGAATAGTCCGAGTTATTTGCCATCAACACTACCGATGACGTTTTTTCAAATGATGATGAAACCTCTGAAATTATAAAAATCTTTAAAAGTATAACTTTTTTTTGTAAATTACACACTATAGTCCATCAACGTCGTGCGCGACCGTCCTGCGGGGTGACAGACGGTGGCGGGGACGAGGTACTCAAGATGTCAGCGGGTAGCGGGTGGTGTAGCGGGGAAGGGAAACACTTCTCTTCGTGTGTAGCCGTGTGCTAGAATGACGCGCTACCTTGCCCCCGCCACTGTCTGTCACCCCGCGGGACGGTCGCGCACGAGATTGCCGGGTTATAGTTTATAGCTAAAGTGTAGTTTACGAAAAACACAATGTGCTTTTTGTAAATTACACTTTTGCTATAAGCTGCAGCTGGCAGTAAAAGACTGAAACTGACAGATTAGCAACATAAGAAAAACATTTTCCACTTATGTAAGTGTGTGCATACCTTCTTTCTCTGCACTTCTCAAATATACTTAATTCTTGCGCTTGTTGAATCACTACCATGTCTAGTACACATTATTGAAAATCAGTTTCTAATAAAAAAAACTTAAAAAAAATGCGAGTGAGTTTTACAATAGACTGACACTGACATGAGTGCTTCGGTGGTGCAGTGGTAACGTATGCGAATGCTGGGTTGAATTCTTGGGTTCGACTCCCGGGTCGAACCTAATGTTTGTATGATCTGCATATATTTGTTTCTTAGTTTGGGTGTTTTCTTTGTATAATATGTATGTTTTCACAAAAAAGTATATAAGTATTCTATCAGTCAATCTAGCTTTCATAGTACAAGCTTTGCTTAGTGTGTAACTAGATGACGTTGTATGTTGACCGAAATATTATTATTATATGATGTGTAACAGCTAACAATCTAGCATTGTGCCCGCTCATTGGGAAATCCAAAAACAATTGCTGTTGCGCTTTCCCGGCATTTTATATAAACTTAAGTTCTGTCTCTTTCCCGAAATCTCCCGCATAGATTGCAGTAAAGCGAGAGGGATCATGTTGAACAAAAAGAAAATGATAGCCACGATAAAGTATCAATCAAAATCAATTATAAGTACTGATGGAATAAATAAATTCGCATAAATACTACATGAATCCTACAAAAGTCCTTTTTTGGGCAATCGAATAAAAATATTTTTACTTGCTATAATTAAATAGCAACACTCATAACGGGTAAATAAAGTTGTTAATAATATTGATTGCTCGCCAGTACGGTGAGCTAACCTAACTTATACCTTTTGGTTGGAAGCCCGTTTGCATCTCCACCAGTAAGGCTCGCCTCTGGTGCCCTACTCTGAGGAGGATCCGGACCAAGTGTTTCAGGTCTCCCCCTGAATCCACGTCGCGCCTAACTTGACTCTACCCTCTGGGAATCTAACCCCTCCCCTTGCAGATTATCCTACCTATCAGCACGCCAAGAGTTGCGGCCCGATCGCAGCTTGATGCGATCATGAAAAAAGAAAAAAAGTATATTACTTTAATTAAGCTTTCCTTTAAGTTTACAAACTCTGGAACAGTTAAAAAAACGAATGTATAGAGAGTGGTATAATCGTAATCAATCATTACATTACAATACACACAACGATAATTTTATTAGCATAAGAATATGCCAAGTTATAACTACTCTTAACATGGCTCATTCTTGCCTTCATACAAAAGCGATGAATAATATGTTTGAATAAACAGCAATTTGAAGCTAAATCTGAAGTAATATTGTGAAGTAGAAGATAGACACTTCTTGTTTTGTTTTATTTTAATTCTTAAATAGTACTTTGTTCGCCCACTGCATGTACCAAAAAATTATTTTTGTAACCGATATAAGACATTATAAATGGATACTCTTACCTAAGATACAGACAGGTTCCCTGCCTAGTTTAGGAAAGAGAGTCCTATGACTATTGTATATATGTTGTACTGGTTTCTTTTCTTGTAAATTTAAGTATTATAAGACAACACTGTATGCCATGTACAAATTACTTAATTGAATAAATTATTATTTTATTATTATTATTAAGTAAAGAATTCCTTTGAACGCGCAAATCTTAAGTTTACATAGCCTATGCAAATAGTTTTTTGTTGTGTTAAAACCTTAGTTTATTCTTGAGAGAGACATAGTTTGACATAGGCGGTGAGCCGTGGCGGCGTGCTGTTGGCGGTGTCGTTGGACATCGTCAAAGCATTCAATAGTCTGCAATTCATCTGCTGTAGGGAAGCACTCCACTACCATGCCGTGCCAGAGTACCTTAGGCGGCTAGTGGCAGACTATTTAGAGGAGCGTACCGTCATGAACCGAAACTGTGTTTTGTGTCGTCGGCCCGTGTCGTGCGGTGTTCCACAGATGAAATATCTGGCTCTGATGATCTGATCTCACATAATAAATTGTACTCGTACACACCTACACTTTTATTTTGAAAACGCAAAGAGATAGTTAAGGAAAGCCATGGGCTATACAACATCTCGCCACCACATACAAATGGTATATTAATAATTATACTTAACGCTTGTGAACCTGTAAACAGTAAGTACTCGTAAGTTATATAAACGCTTACCTGGAACGTCATAAGATAAAACTGAACAAGATGGTGATTTCATTGGAGTTCCGACGTCAACATACGCAGGCTGCTGTGGAACAGAATGATTCGGTCGTCGTGTAGCACTATAATTTTGAACGAGACAAGGAGGGGTTGGAGGAGAAGCAGGAAAACAAGAAGGTTTGGCTGGAGGAGGGCAAGTAGGTTTTTGTGAGCTAGGGCATCGAGGTGACTTTGGCTTTGAACATGGTGGGGGCTTACAGGAGGGGCTCGGAGTTCTACATCGAGGGGTCGAAGGGCATTTAGGAGGGGGGCACTTAGGAGGGGGGCACTTAGGAGGGGAGCACTTACGAGGGGGGCACTTTGGAGGGGGACATTTAGGAGGGGGTGGAGGATTTTTGGGTGGGGGTGGTGGACATTTGGGTGGAGGTGGAGGGCACTTAGGAGGAGGTGGCGGACATTTGGGTGGGTTTGGCGGACATGGCGGAGGAGTTACAGGGCATGGTGGAGCATTCGTTGGACCTGGACAGCATGGAGGGCATGGCGAGTAACAACGAGGTTTTGCTGGGCAACGAGGCGGACTTGGAGGGCAGCTTGGGGGACTTGGAGGAGTTGGTGGAGTTGGAGCACGAATACAAGTGGGAGGATTTCTAGGAGGACATTCTCGGCTGTCAGGGCTGGCTGGACTACTAGGGCTATTCGGACTAGATGAAACTGGACTGCATGGATCTTTATATTCCGGAGACGGCGGACTTGGGAAAGACACCACGTTTTTCCGATTCGCTGGGCACCCCGAAGAATCACATTTAGGGAGCTTATTAGCAGGGCATTCATGATTTGAACATGAATAGGGAGGGTTTTTCAAAAATTCCTTTGGTTGTGATGTGTTGCAATCCGGGCAAGGGCAAGTCACTTTTATGAGTCCAGCTTTTATGTCAGAAATTTTGCCTGGAGTATAGCTAAGGCACTTATAATGAGCCCATCTTCCACACGCTCCCATACACTGTAGTCCATTCTTGTTAGTAACACCCTGCAGACAGAATTTACATGGATTTTTTACTTTGGCACATTGTAGATCCATTTTGTTTTTATTGTAGTTATTTGGTTTGTTTAATACATTTTTGTGAGTGGTGTGTTTCAAGATGACATTTGACAGTTCTTTTTATGTTTCATCCAAAGATACAATATGTAACTTTATCAATCATCTGTCTAATATCTTATCTTTGATAGCTTATTTTAAAAGACCTCTGTGCTGTGACTGATAAAAATGATTTTATTTATTTGTTTGGTACCTCTTAAATAGCCATAATTACAGTTAAAATGAACCTAGTGTAAACTGAGCAACAACTAAAGCTAATAATATGCAATGTTCAAATTCAGAACAAAAAGAGAAAGGAACATCAACGGATGTATTGGACATCACTCATACAGCTCACTCGGTATTCATAGTCAAGTAGAAAACACTAATCTCTCTTGATAAGAATTTGAACTAAACAAAAGTCCACAAATATTTAGACTGCTTTAAAATCACCTTCATTAACAGTCGTTTTGCGATCATTACAAGGTCATCTGTCCACCTTGTTTATGGACTTCCGACGCTGTCTTTACTCCAGAAAATTTCGGTCCGCTTGATCTTCAGTTCTGCGAGCTGTGTGCCCACTGCCATCGGAATCCGTTGAACTATGTCGGTAATCCTCCTTCGTCTGTTCTTCTAATTGTTAATTGGATTCCCCACAGAAACCCTTAGGAAAACTCTCTCCACAGCTCTCGTTCATTTGCTCACTTTTTTTATCAACTCGCAGTGAGAGACCACATTTTGAATCTGTATTTGATAACTGTAACCGCAAACCTTTTTTTCACGCGCTGTAGAATTTTGTATGGTGTGGTGATTTATTAAGAATACGGGGTGTCACCACCCCTATTCATCTCGTTTATGTCGTAAGAGCCCACTAAGGGGGTAAACTACGGACAACAGCACTGCAAAGAAAAATAAAACTTGAAACAATCCCTATATAGCCCGTCTGGCTAGTGTGGTATAGTACGCCATAGCCTCCTTTTTAAGGCTTACCTTGCTGATGATACTGATACTGATTACATAAGCATCAGCCTATGTCCAGCAGTGGACTATTAAAGGCTTTTGAATGCATCCGAATTGAATCTTGCACATTAATTTCAATGTAACAACTCTTGCACATTTTTAGCTACTAAATATCGATACAGCCTTGTAGGTAGGTATCAAGCGGTTTATCAGTGGAGTTAACTCACTGTTAGTTTTTATTACACATATTAATATGACATTAGTATCTAAATTGCACTTGTTCGAAGACGAGGCGGGTCCCTAGTCATACATAAATTAAAAAGGTCAAAAAACATTAAAGGAAAAGAGTAAGAAGATGATGGTAAACTCCACCAAGACTTAAAAAAAAATCGTGCTCATCACTGAATACTTTGGTAGTCAGGATCGCTAACCACTCAAACAACAACCAAGTTAGGCCAGTCGTCAGACCAAAATTTCGTAAGAGAAAATCGTAAGAGGAACCTAATGAGTTATAGTTATACTACGTACTAGAGAAGACATTTCGAACAAAAGATAACGTTCAACTTGATGACAGCCGGGCAGGCGCGGGGCAAGCGGGGCAGTGTTATGTTCTAATACATAACAAAGTAGTGCACGGAGATGCGATATTTTTTATTATTATGCCTACTTGATTCCATTTTCAGTCTCTGTCTGGTTTGGGATCATACAACCGTGTGTTGAAATATTATTATTATTTCAGAAAATAAATGCCGTATATAATTTTTGTAATAATATATTTATCTAATTCACCTTAAACAATATAAACATTCCCGTTTAGATAAACAACTTGTTTTTTAGCTTAATGTTTCAAGCGAATTGTTGTATTTTTAATAATAACTGACTTGATTTGATTTAAGGTGGTTGGTTCGGTTAAATTCTCTTCGTACTTCATACTTCGTACTCATATAATGTAATTTACATCTACACAAGGTTGGCAAAAGGCAGAATTCTTCAGGAAACTTGAACTGTCGTGTACATTTTTTTGCCGGTCCACCCTTTTTTTTTTTTAACGTGTGGAAATCCCCTCGGACCGTCACCCCACCGGGGTTTGCGGCGGGGTGGTGTGTCGGACTCGGACCGACTAAAACCACACGGTGTGCCACTCTGCGCCTGTAATAGGAGGGATCCGGGAACAGCTGTTATTAAGACATCCGGACCCCTCCTAATTTTTTTCCTCTCTTTAGGCGACGTCCGGCACACGCGGACGCCGCCCCCTCGCAGCTGGCCAAACTAATGCGGGTGGAGGGGAAACCCACCCCTTCCATCCGCGGCCACACTCAGGGCGGCATAAGGCGGTGATAGGCGCGCCTCCGCCGCCCGATTCGCCGGCGGCGGATCGGGTCCGAGTGGAGGTCGTCCTCCCGGGCCTTCTCCGCCGCCTCCTTCTGCGAGATTACTTCCTCGCAGAAGGTTGCGACCGCGATAAAACAACTGTCGCTACCGGCCATGGAGCGTACTACGGCCGGCAGCGAGAGATCCACTCCGATGACTGCAGTGAGGGCCCGGCGCTGCGTCGCCCATGCGGGGCAGACCGCCAGCGTGTGCTGGGCCGAGTCCTCACTGCAGTCGCAGTGGTGGCAGGCGGGACTCAGTTCCATCCTAGCGAACGAGTGCAGGTACTTTCCGAAGCAACCGTGCCCGGAAAGCACCTGCGTCAGCCGGAAGGTAAGGGTCCCGTGCTGCCGCCCTGCCCACTCGGCGATGACCGGCGATTGCCGGACACCCTAACCCAACTCGCCGGAGCCTAGTGGGAGCTAAGTTGTGTTAGTAAATGAGTTTGCGCTAACTAAATCTCACATTTTAGTTAATAGTTCAACAAAGATTTAATACCTACGCGTCAAATCTGTTCAGTTTACTTACCTTTCATAATCTATGATTTGTATTCTCAAATGGCGGTACAAAATGTATAAAAGTTAGTTTTGATTTACTTGATACGAAAGTAGTTTACTTAATATTTTCTTTACCCATCGATCAAAAGTTACACCACTATAGTTTTTCTTTGCAGCGGATGGATTTTTAAACCTACCATATCTTTAAATTCCAATGTTAGTCACAATTTCCCCATTCGATCCCTAAAAGCTTAGCCGAGCGACGGAATGCGTTTTTGTCGGCTGGCACTAACGCATTGCGCAAAATATTTGTAGTTCAATGATGAAACGTAATGTTCAGTAACCAAGCAGGTAATAGGTACTTGGTTTGTGATTGTGAAAATTTTATCGATAAATGAGTAATAAATATCAAAGTTCACAATTACTAATTTTACTTATTTTACATTTACATACATTTAAGTTACAATTATTATTATTTTTTATTCAAGTCAGATCATATAACCCGCCCCGCGTCGCTCCCGGTGCAAAGGTGCCCATGATACTGGCAGCATTGCTTCGCTGAATTGCAACGGACATCCTTTGCACGAAACGAGCCGAGAAAACGAGAGAAACGAGCCGGAGCGGGAGTCACCACTTATCCCTAACTCCTATCCCTATCCCTATCCCTAACTCGGCGACCAATCTTCAATTCAAAGTTCACAATATTTGCAAAAGCTTTAACAAATATCAGGTGTAGCATTTGCAAAACGTATTTATTTGGTCGTGCTTGAAGTTAGTACCAGTGTGGCCAATTTTAGAGATTTTCTCAAAATTAATAGTTCTATTTTAAAGTCCTCGGATGGTCGTAAGGTCTGATAATAATTCATACTATTTATATATGTCATAATATGCATTAATTTACTAGTGAAAGAATTTGTAAAATTTGAGAAACGGAATGGATTTTTAACTAACCGCCTTTTAAATGCTCTTTTTTTATATAGCTGTAAAAGGCTGTAAATGAGCAAATGTATCACCCGATGGAAAGTGACAACCGCCACCCATGAGCGCCTGCAAATAAGGAGTCACAAGCGCGTTGCTAGTCTTTAAGGTTGGCGTACGCTCTTATCCGATAAGTAAATCTTTTTAAAAGGTGGACTTAAAACAAACATTAAATTTGAAGATAACATTAGGGTCTATAAATTACATTACATATGATAGTAGAAGTGAATAAATCGTAAAAAATTGTCATCAAAATGTTTTCTTGATCTGGCAGCACTGCAATGCCTGACAAATGTGAATTGTGAAGTTGACATTGACACTTGACTGACAGCTACTTTTAAGGTTATTTGTACCTAAATTTGTTTAAGGCTATTTCAATCTTCAAATTAAAACAAAAATAATACCAAAATGCCGTTCATGAAAGGGAGAGCTCCTATTCGACGTACACTAAACTATTTAAATGCTGGCAGATTGGTTCTGAAAGACAAAATCAAGATATTCTCTGTGGCCTATAACATAAGCGGTCAGAATAATACAGGAGCCAAAGAGTTCGTCTTTTGGTATTTACCACAAATTCAGTACAAAAATCCGGACATACAAGTAGCAACATTTAAGAATTTAACGCCGTCGCCTTTTATTAAATGTTATTTTGAAGATGGAAGACGAATCTTAGTCGATATCGACAATAAATCTAAAGAGGATATTTTAGAACATTTGATTAACACTGTTGGTAAGTTTGTACATGTTGCATCACCATCAACAGCCTTTAGTAGTCCACTGCTGTATAGGTATGTTTAGATAAAAATATTATTACTTACCTGTCACATGGTTGTCTGATCTAAAACTAGGCAAAGCCTGTATTATGGTAAACATACTGGTGATAAACATACTTCAATATTTCTAAAAACATACATACTCTATATAAATTATATTATTATACCTAACTGACTTCGTTTGAAATTCGATTCTGTGACAGCACTGTAGCATCGTCAACACAGAGATAATAGCCAGTTAACTCCATTGATAGCTAATAAATGTTTTTTCAGGGAAATCCCGCGAAGTACTATCTGCCGAGTCTATAGCGGCTGAAAAGAAGGACAATCCTGCGAACTTTGGCATTGGCTGTGAACGCCCTTGCATATGTGAAGTGTACGGGCAAATACCTTGTCCCGGTGTAGTGCCATTACCTAAGTTTATGAGAGGAAAATATAAATATCAAGTTGATTAAGGTACTGTAGCATAGTATTTTGAAATGTTCATATTAGCTGTAAATATATAGATTAATAAAAATAAATAAATTAGTTTCTTTTGTTGTTTATTAACCCTGTGTATCAGTTTTAGGTTTTCTTATTAAAGAACACACTTTGTTTATTGTGTGTATGGTGTATTACTTATAAATATTGCAATATAAATAGTTATTTCTAGCTTTTTCCCAGGGCTCTCTACCTGCGTGTATGTTGGTTAGCACGGGAAAAAGAAGCCCATGTTACTCTCTGATGATGTAGCTTTCCATTGGCAAAAGAATTTTTTATGATTGGTTTAGTGGTTTAGGTGTGAAAACCTAACAAACAAACTCACTTTCACATTTGTAACATAAGTATAATAACAACAAAATATTATTTCACACACCATCCCCTTTTGATCCCAAACTAAGCAGAGCCTGTACTATGGTAACCAGACTGCTGATAAACATACTTATACAAACATACTAATGATAAAGTACACCCAGACACAGAACAAATGACGGTGCTCATTACACAATTGGGTGGGAATCGAACCCACAACCTCTGGCGTAGCAGTCAGGGTCACTAACCACTAGACAAAGAGGCCTGTCAAAGTATGGATGTCACCCCCCCTATTTATCCAGTGGATGTCATAAGAGCCGTCTAAGGGAGCAAACTACACAGGACAACAGCACTGCAAAGAGAAGGATAACTTGACACAAAACCTATACCAACCCGTTTGGTATACTAAGTGCAAACTTCCTTTCTAAGGAGAAGCCTATGTCCAGTAGTGGATTATTAAAGCCTGTTGACAATGACTTACTTTATTTTATGATTGAAAAAATAAAATTTGTTTTAAGTAATTTTTTATGTACTCAGAGATCCTAGAAAGTTATTTGAGGTGGAATAAAATTCAGAGGTAATCAAAATGTTAAAAAACAAGCAAGGACAAGTGGAGAGAGTTCTGTATGATAAATGCCCCATAATTATTCATGTATCAATAATCCCACCAAAAACATTTTCATGTAAAAGATGGCCATGATGAGACCATATGGCTCGCACTGTCAAACAGTTATCAGATCTCATGTAGAGCCAATCTTCTAACAACACCTGATTTCATAAACTCTACACCTTAATCAAAATTGTATACAAGAAAAGTGATGAACAGTGAAACAATTTTTTACCTGACGCCCATGTGGCGGCAGCGAATTACCCTATATCAATTTTTATACTTCTAGCATATGTGTAATAATAGTGAGTCAATTCAGGTGCTTAGAGGAGCGAAGAATAAAGAAGAGCGGAGTCTTCTCATAACCAAAATGCCCGACGTGTGCGGTAGTACCGGGTGGCTTCACTTACGGTACGGCTAGGTACGCTCGTTCAGGAGTCTCTCGTGCATCACTTGCACGCGTTTGGTGCAACATAAGATAACTCGCAATAGTTTTATTATTTAATTAACTCACAGTAGTACTATTATCTCTACTTTACTAATAATATAATATAAGACAAAGAGCGTATTATAAAATTATCGATATATTTTCCCATAGTATTACTAAACTGCTTGGTAGTATAGTAGTACCACGGGAGGAAATTTTTGTACGTATTAAAAGTACCACGGGCAACAAACGGGTATTTCTCTATCTAATAGAAGACTAGATGCCGAAATGGCTTCTACAACTAGACTAGGCTAGATTCCGGTGATGGCCTTATCTTCATCTAACAAAGCGCCGCTGATTTATGCAGGGCCACTTTGAATTTTAGTCGGTTCGAGTCCGACATAGCCGGTAGGTGGTATCCGAGGGGATTTCCGTACAGAAAAAAAGGACCACCTGAAGACCCAACCTCCGAATCCTTTCAACTGCTTCAGCGCCTCGACTCGTTGAAACTACCTCGGACATGTAGTTCAAGTTTTACATAAACCTACCGAATAATTTAATCACGGACAGTACACGTACCACTAGGTTTTAAAGAAATAAGACTGTTAAAGAAAACTTCATATTCTATTTGTAAACATTTTTTATTAAATGAAATAAAAATAAATCTTTCACTTAACCAAACAGGTATACAATACATTTTTTACATAATCCTCAGATCTTGTTCATTTATGTTTTTTTTTGTTTTATCATCATCAATAGTTCATTGCTGGACATAGGCCTCTCCTTAGAATGGAATTTTTTGGATGCTATATCACGCTGGCCAAACGGGCTGGTATCAGGTTTGTTTGTAGTTTAATTTTTAGATTTCCAGTTATGCACCAGGTATGGCTTTTAAATCTTTTTCCAATATATTAAATAGAATACCATTCTAGAATATATGTATATGTTCATGTTTTAGTGACATTATTAACTTTCCGTGGACTTCAAAACAGTCGTGATTTTAGAATGTAAACCATCAAAGCAGCGGCAATAAATTGCGTGTTTCTGAATGCATTGAAGGTTCTCGAATTTTCGTGGAAGAAGAGGGTATCGTCCACTTCCTCTCCTCTAGGGAAAGTATGGTAGAAAGTCCAGTCATTTTGCGTGTGTTTCTTTATTTCCTGGAAGACGAAGAAATTATTTTAAATTATTTTATTGATGAATGTTTAAGATAAATCATGCTATAACCGCTGAACGAATTTCGATAATAGAACACAGACCTAATCAGGGATATATTCCAGATTAGCAAATCGGCACAGGGAACCATAAACATTAAAATAAAACATAACATTAAAATGGATGGAGTAGCAATAACGGATCCGTAGGTTTATCAGAGTGTGTTCGTCAGTATGAGGTTAGTCAACAAGTTCAAAAACGTGTTAATTTTTGATAAAGCTTCTAAAAATATGAGTGATAGCTCATTCGATTCGGAATGACGTCCAGAAAAATGTATCGAAAGTATGTATTAGCACATAAAAAATTGCAATTGTTATTGACAAATTAAGATAAAAAAGACAGCATTTTGTTTTTGTTAATAACTCAAATATTATGAACACTTAAAGAATTAAAAAAATAGCGTTAAAGAGGAGGAAATTCCCAAGAAAAAAGTTCCGACTCCCGGAACTCTATCTCTATTATTTATAATTTTAATTCAATGCTGAAAATAGGGCTCCGTACAGCCGTAACGACTTAGGCGACATAGGACATTAAAAATTTGACTAAATTATGGTATCATCTAGACACTTGAAAAAATAAATCCCCGTTGGAAAAAAAAAGTATTTTTTCAGAAAGTTATACTATTGTTAATTAATTATTTTTCCAATCTCTGGTAAATGACTACATAAAAATTTAAATATTGTATCTATAAATTTTTGGCTTCGTGGAGTCTTATACATGTACTTAACAAGATCATGCGATAAAAGCAATTTATAGTTTATTATTTTGTTTATACTGATTTTTTAAAGTTAACAAAAAAAAATTTGTTTTTGTAATATTCAACTCTACTCAACAAACTTGACCGACTTCTCAACAACTGCATTCGGGTCATCTTCAACGTCCGCAAGTAAGACCATGTCTCTTTTTATCGAATCCAACTGTCATGGTTACCTATGCTGTCCAATCTATACTACTATGGAATGCGCTCCCTCTTTAGATCAGGATGCCAACAAATCGTGACACATTTAAAGCCAAATCCGAGAACTTTATAAGAAACAGCTACCAGAAATATCCTCATGACTTGTCACTTGTGACTTGAACGCGTCACTTCAGATACTATTATTGTGAATATTTATACTATAGAAATTATTGTATGTATAGGTATTAAATAAATATGTATTTGTGTATTCGTCTATGTAGGTACTTTTAAATAGCATTATTGTTATTTTTATATTTGTAAATTCTTAGTTCATAGCTTCTTTTCATTTTACATATGCACCTGCCGTGTCCCTTACTGAACCATCTAAAGGTTGTCTGGTAGATAATGCCATGTAGCATTAAGTCCGCCTAAGTGTAGAAATAAAATAAATAATGTAACTTATTACTATTACAGCCAGCGCATCTCCTAAATCGCTCCAAGAAAAAGATATTTCTATTTAAAAATATTTATTTTTATTAATTCTGTGTCCTCCATTGTTTATAATACAACTAAAAAGACGTTGACGCATGCATTCCACTAAACACTATACGTTTTCTATACAGTTTAGATCAGGGGATCGCGATGCCCTTGCACCAACCTTAACATTCGAATATTGACGAAACCAATCACTAATCATACCGGCACGGTGTATCTCACAAAATAAGTTCACTAAATATTTCCACAAGATAAACAGGTAGCACACATCACAGTAGGTAGCTTTACGCCGTTCGAAACCTCGACTAAATGGAGTCTAGTTGGTTTGGAACTATTTGTTTCATATTCACCAACCATAAAGCGTCGCTGAGACTGTTTAACAAGTGGCGACTAGTTAATAATCTTTTCACTCAACGTCTCACAGCTTTTTTGTAAAAAATAATCTTATTAGACATTTTGACCCATTACTTGAGAGATTATATCATAAAATAAAGTCGTACACCACGAATGTCATCACACATTCAAACAAAATCACTTACACTTAAGCGGGTTTCATTGGATTTTCAGACATTAAGCCCACGTAAAGCTATAATGTTAACTGTGGCTTTAATATTAATATTTGCTTGCATTTTGAATACAGATATTCAATATAAATATCAGTAGAAATCATTAACACAAATGCTCGTAACTAAGTTCATCACCGTCAAATGTAGAGGGTGTAATGTGTGTGTAATTGTCAATAAACTACGTTATTGTTTTAAATATACCATCAACTTTTAGTGACTACTAGTTTAAAATTATGAATCAAATACTATTAGATTCTTCGACGTTCGTTACAATACTGCACTAACAACCATTCCATGAATTCTCAAAAAGTTACTGTGAGGTTGCATGAGTTTTAAAACGGCGGCATTTTCATTAGCGCAATTCGCAGCGCCAGACGGACAGTAATTACGTTGAAATTAGTTACTATAATCATAAGCATGTAGCGCTTATATGTGTGCGTGATATATGTTAATAGAAGAAGGTCAGTCCAACTAGTTATAATACTATAAATTCGTAAAAGTGCGACTGGACTTATGACCGAGACCGTACGTGTGACAAAAATGTGTGGTCCTCGTTTAGAGTCTTATAATAAGACCAATACCTACAACAAAAACTATTATTACATTGTACATAATAATTACATATACTATTTTACAACTGCTACTACTACCGACAGTTATAAGAAAATTTATGATATTTAATCTAGATAAGGTTTGATTAGCTGCAACTATATTTAAAATCTAGTATGATAGCGCAAGCGTCCTCACATCAACAGACAACACAAACTCCGGGATTTTTTCCTTTTGCCGGGTAGTAGGTCCAGCAATAATAACATTTGCTCCTTTCAATGCCTCCGGAGTTTTTATTACTTGCGACATTTTGGTACAGGATTTTTCACATATGTGTTTGCTGTCATCTAACAAGAGAGGACTGACTTTGCATTTCTATGAATAGATGAGAATAGTATATTATTGTTTTTATAAATACTAATTTCTTTCAGGCCTCACAGTATACGCTTTAAAAAGAAAGCAAAACCCTATCGGAAGGAAAAACGAAACACTCATTATCGTAATTGTATTTGCAGTCGAAGCAATGTGTAACATAGCAAAGATGGTGCCACAGCCCCACAGAAAATTGTTGTGTTAGGCAATTCTTTCGTTGCTATCACCCTCAAAATCACTTTCACTCTTATTCCTCGAGGGGGAGATAGAAACAAAGGGCGTCAATGCACTTAAATAGTGTCTCTTAAATTACAGGTGTCCAATGGCGGTGGTAGTCACTTACCATCAGGTGGGTTTTAACGTCTTTTCGTCACGAACGTTTTGTCGGTAGGGTGGGATGGTAGCCATTGAACCACCAAAAGTTTGAAAAGTTCTAGCACAGTTACTATTGCAGTTTTAGAATAAAAAAATTTCACTACACTTGGGTTATTTAATGATCTAACATATTGGATACCAAATTTTCGGCATTATTTGATAATGTCTTAGTAATACCGATTTAAAAAAAAAAAGGTAATTGGTTCATAGTGTACACCGTAGGGTACACAATAAATCGGGGGGGTGGGACTTCATGAACCATGTGGTACACAATGACTCACAGGAATAACTACATTGATTGTTTCTTTGAAGTTTAATAAATAAAACAGTTTTAAGTTTTAATATTTATTATGTTTTAAACGTTAGAAAAATAACCTACCTAATCAGCCTTAATTTTTAAATGTTAAATCACAATTGTAGGTACGCAGGCCTATACTAAATAGGAACAATAATTATTATCACCTCGATCGTCATCCGTCATGACATTTTCCAAAAACAAAAAACTTAATAGAAACAAAACAATCTTCTAATCAACAATCCTTCAGTTAGGATGTATCTACCTAGGTAACTAATATCTTAAATTCAGTAACGACATATCGACAGGAAATTTGTAGGTGGCTTGTCGACGTGCCGTACCCTGTGTAATGGGAGGTGGTAAAATATATGTAATATCTTTTCTATTCACACCTGCTGTGTCAGGTTCTAGAGGTAGCGAAAATGTCTGTGTAACCTTATTTTTTAACTTGAAATACGATACATAATAATCGCATTCTTCTCCCTCCAATTCCTCCAAAATTTGTGCTATGTAATAAACTTTAGATTTTTTTGTAGTAAATGCAATAATTACGTAGTCTTCAACGCGAGGCTTCCTTAACAATGGAGGGAAGTTGTCGCATAAAAGGACTTCTTCCTCTTCTGATTGATCGAGAAAATTTTCTCCGCCAGAAGATGAGTCGCTGGAAATAAATTCATCCTCTTCGTCTGATGAAGTGTCTGATTTTACTCTCTTACGGCTACTTTCAAATAAAGTCACTTTAACTACGTTAGCTCTTTTCCGGGTTTTATTTTGTTTTGAGTTTTTATTTTCAGCTAAAGCGTTCTTTTCGGGTGTATCAGTAGCTATCATGCTCTTACCTGCTTTTCTCTTGAACCTCTTCTTGCGAGGTTCTGCCTTCAAAGGTGGCCTGAAAATCTTCGGTGAAATAAAATTACTTGGAATGCCAAACACTTCAGGAGAGTTTGTTTTTTTAGTAGGGGATACGTCTTCATTATCAACCACTGAAGGCGATGGCTGGCGGACATATGAAGTAGATGGTACCGGTATGCTATAGTGATATTCTTCAATAATATTCTCAATATCTGCGTCAGTTTCATCATCGTCACCGTAAAAAGCAGGCGTCAATATAGATGGTGAACCACAACGTTCATTAATATCGGGTTCTTGAAAATCTACCTCAGCATCTGTTTCATTTTTTGGTGCTGGTCTATTAGTAACTTCACTGGGTAAAAAATCTATGTCTGTAAATATTTTATCATCAAAGGGGAATATACCGCATTTTTTAAATGCTTGAGTAATATTTACCGGAGTCATGGCCCTCATATACGCTATACCTACGCATTCGGCAACATTGTAAATGCTTAAAGTTTTACCTGGATTACATAGTAACCATGAGTCTATCGCGGCATTATAATACGACTTGAATGGGCCATTTAGTCCAACATCCAGAGGTTGCATCCTGGCCGTGGTATGAGGATGTAGTGTAAGCACAGTCACACCTGAGGCTTTTGCTACATCTAGTGCTTCTATAGACAAGTGGCTTTCATGGTTATCAAGAATGAGCAAAGCCGGATTGTCTTTTGATGCTGAAGTATACTAAAACAAATAGAAATACAATAATGTTATCTATTCCACACGTAGAATCAAATTTAGACACAAAAATCTACCTATATCAAACAATCGTCAAAATACCTGGATAAAATGTTTCATTACTTCAACAAATAATTGCACATTCATCCAACCACTAGGTGAGGCTAGACCGAGGGTCCCGGGAGGTGCCCCGTGCAGCATATGAGTCTTAAAATTTTTTCTTGGAAATATCATAGCTGGAGGTAGGGCCTGACCAATCGCATTCACTATACAGCAAGTGGTAACCAAGATCCCTCGTTCTCCACTTGTAACTTTACAGACATTGCTGCCTTTAACTGCTAGCACTTTTTGAGGACGTTGCACAGTAGTGGTAGAAGTTTCATCAAGATTGTATACTCGAGATCCATTGGCAAAAGATAGAGTGCGATTATAAACCTCTTTAAGGTTGTCAAAAAATTTTTGCACATTATGTTTGTTAAAAGCTGTTGCTCTTGCCATACTACAAGCTTCGGGTTTTTTTATTGATAGTTCCGGATGTCTTGCCCTAAAACCCCTCATCCAATCCCTACCTGCCATTTCATGAGTTTGCCATGAAGGTGGCATATCAATTTTGTTAATTGCTGCCATTTGGTAAGCAATTCTGCGGCTGTCTTTAGACGTTAATCCGTAGAATTTATTTGCACAATCCAATATGTATTCCTTAATACTGTCTTCTTGTTGATCAGTAAAAACTTTACTTGCGTTATAATGAGGTTCCAATCTAGTTGACGGATCCTTCACGTATTTTAATATATATCTTCGTAGTGTTGGATAGGGAATGTTAGAAGCTTCAGCTGATTTCCGGATACTCAGCCCTGTATTTAAGTGCAGTTCGATGCCTTTTTGCATGGCTTCAGGAGGGATTGCTCCTTTTTTACGACGTTCCCTTCCAAGTGTGTTTCGACCCATGCTAAAAAAATATTAATATTAGTAATATCTAAATACCTATTATCCCGCAATAATAAATTGTACCTATTAAATAAAATATAATTATATTATTAAAGTAATGTTATGCCAGCTACAGTAGTACACATTGAACCATGGTTCATTGCGTGCCCAGAGTTATTGGTTATCTGCGTACCCCTCCCCCTTTAGAAAACGTTACTTAATGCTGTTGCCAATAAGCGCATAGAAGCGATTAAAAAAATATACTCAAATAAGCACAATAACCCATGTAGTGCATAGAACACACTCATAGTTTAGTAAAAGTTATAATAACAAAGTAATTACCAAAACAAACTTACGTTTTTTTCGTCGTTTTTACTAAACGAAACACAAAAATGCGACACGCGCGTCCGTTTATGGTGGCAAACGGCCGGTGACTAGCGTATTCTACACGGCGCGGGGAGGAGGTCCAGACACGTTTATTGCACGGACTGGCAACGTCGCGTATTGTCGCAACCTGTACTGGTTCATACGGTACACTTGATTCATTGGCTACCATCCCACCCTAAAGGAGTTTCATTTGGTTCATCAAGTGTGTCATATTTTTAACTTCGCAAGTTCATGTTGATTTGTTCGTTTCAAGAACATAAGATCAGTATTCGTATTAGGCAAAGTTATTATTACTTACATTACAACAGCACTTAAAATTCAAATTGGCTCCAAGCATTGGGCAAAGAATTAAATAGTCATTAAGAACTTGGTGAGGAGCGCCAACATAAGCTATGTTCAAATTTTCAAGTTTTCCGTGATCCTCCTGAAAAGCATATGTTATTGTTTTGTGTCTGTTGAATCTGCGTATATTATCTTATAAATAGATACATCGTGGTTTTTAAGGTAACTTAAGAGAGTGTTTTAGTTAATAATTAATGAGAATCTCTTCAGCCGTACGAAGAACATCTACTCTTTTCTGCTTGTTGAATGGGTTTTTGTAAAGAAATAATTTAAAGTTTTTCCTTTAGGGCTGATTCCAGAACCTGAAGATAATAACCAAAACAAACTAACAGCATAAAGTACACGGAAAGAAATACCTACATAAGTAGGGCTTCCAGACTTTCTCTACGAAACGAAAAAAAATTAAATTAGCAAATATTTTATTATTTTTTAGATAATAGAGACGTCTGGTGTAAAAAGTTATGAAACAGTTATTTTTCTTTAAAATAGAAAAGAAGAGAAGAACTTCTAGTGTTATCAATATCTATGCAATAAAGTAGTTATTCTAGGGAAAGCTAGGTTGGAACATTTTATAACATGTTTTCTTACTATTATTGACATGATTGTAGCCAAGGACTGGATGCTGGCATGTCTTCTGGATCTCATACACACCACAGGTACCAAAGAATGTTCAGCAAATCGCTTCAAACACCCGTATGTGAGTGATGACACAAATATTGTATCAGCCATTTCTGAGTATACTCTAAAAAAGATTAATTAATGTTAAATTTTCAAGATTTTTTTGCATGTGCCTGAATATTAATCAAGAAATGCTAGGGAATTCATATTGACGATGTACAACTTACAGAATTTTTAAGTGATATTACGTAAGGTCAGTATACCAAAATACTGGTGGAAAAAGCAGTCTGGAGCCCCATCCCAAAGTCTGTTCTTTCCGCCTGTTGTCAATAAATAAGAAACTGGAATGAATGCACACCAAAAAGGAGTGTCATTCTATCTTTATAACGTATTTATTGAATTACAATCATACCTGCCTATAAAATCATGTTCCCAGTCAAGTGCCTCTACAATGTGGACATCAGATGCTCCTAACATTGACACGGCTTTCGACACCGCCATACGTAGTATAGGTTCGTTGTGGTCTTCTAATATCATTACTTTTGTACATTTTAGTAAATCCTGGAAGAGGTACGGATATATTAAACAATTGTATACGACTCAAAGGTACAATACTCAGTTTCAACAAAATAAAGATTCCTGAAAACAATTTGAAGCGGTATTACTTAGAAACGTTCTAAAACTATTCATCATATAGGAATAGGTATTATTTTATATTAAATACCTCAATACCGGCGTGGGCCCCGTTAGGGAACACCCTGTGGTGTAATCATGAATTGTTAATGAACTCCTTACAATAAAAAATATTACTGTACTGGTTTTCGAAATCAGAGGATAATTATTATCAAGGATGTGATCAAAACATGCTCATGAATTTAGATGATTTCCCTTAGACGTTCGTTGAATATAGATATATTGTCAGACCACTTATAAATTATGTTGTAGCTACTAAATTAAAAAAGAAAATCCATTAGAAACAAGGGAGAAAAGGTTAGCCTTTTCCCCTTTGTCTAGCTTTTAAATAATTTCGATTTAGGAATTTCAAAAAAAAATATACGAAGTGGTCTGATAATATATTTTATACTGAACTATTGCCTTTTTGTCTATTTCTTATATTGTAAATATACAAAAGCTGTATATTTTTTAAGAATTCTTGAGGAACGTAATAAATGTTACGGATATTTAGTGGAGGTACTTCAAGCCTTTTTGGCTACCAATATTTGAAGTAAAAGTATTAGAAAGCTGTTTGGAATGATAGTAACGACAAAGTTTAACTCTTTTATGCGGGATATGCCTACATACTCATACTGAGGCAAATTATGTTAAGAATTTCTTTAATCCCGTGATAAGCTATTGATGTGGAAACTCCTAGATCGATTGTTTGAGGATAATATGTATCCCCGTATATCTGTGTAGTATAACATCTTGCAACTGACTACAATTTAAATAATTTATCTCATTATACACCTGCCACACACAAATCTCTGCATCACCCCAAGGTTGACTGGAAGCCTATAAAATGCCTATGGCATTAAGTCCGCCTTATGCAATGTATTTGCAGGAAGTATAAATAAATAAATAAATAAATAATTCAAAATGAGCAAGAGCCCTAATAGTATCACTTTATCTGTCTGTGTATCTATCTATAAAACTGCCTTTCTCATATAAATGTATTGAGTTAGCATAAAACATTATTTAAAGTTTTCGGTCCCTTATGAGCGGCAAACACGAGTTGCTGCATTTTATTATGATATCCGCAACTAAATTTAATACAACTGTAACCTCAATTCACCTACCTCACCAGATTTCTACACCGCTGAAAGGTTGGCTGGTAGAGAATGCCCTGGGCATTGAGTCCGCCGGTGTACAGGTGCATAAAGTTGTAAAATAAAATAAATCAAGTCTCATGGAAAACTTCCTATTTACCCTAAATGATGTAGGATGTCCTTGTAGAAAAAATCTCATGTTTTTGGGGTTTATCACCGAAAACTCCTATGGGCAAATGGGCTGGCTCGATCGGAGTAGTACCACGGCTTCGCTGAAAACCGGGGTTAAGAAATTCTATCTACTTTTCACCAAGAGAGTGAGGTTACCGAAGCCCAAAGCTCCCTGATCCTTGGGGGGGTGGGAAGGGGATTCTGGACTCAAAGTGTGGCAACGCACTTGTAAGTCTTGAGTTGCAGCTCTCCGCGGTAGTCCCCGTGACCCGTTTGCCTGTTTGCCCCCTATACCACAAAGAAACAGATGTCCTGTTTTAGCAATTTTGTAATGTCGGAAGATATACTTTAAATACATATTATTTTACCATTTTCTTCCCATGCGTATCTCCGAATAAATTCTTTAAATTACTTGCACTGCATATCACTTCCTTAATTCTTTCAGGGTCCCAGTCTTTGAAACAGATCAGATGCTTCAGATGTTCCCTGTAACAATATTTTCTAGTGATTTTTTCATATGCTCATTTACTTAATTTTCAAAAATAGTATATAATTGTGGTATTTTGATCTAGATATACTCACTATCAAAAATGCCAATATTGGGGTAAGTTTAATTTAAAATTAAAGGTTAAAAGCTGAAGGTTATGATAAGAACTTAACAGCGATTGGCGCGCACTGAAATCTCCACCAATCGCAACGCCGAAAGCGCTCATCGTGACGAGCGAGTAGACGTGTAATAAACTCACACTTGGGTCTCAGACTGCCGTGTGTGAGATGTGTGAAGTTATTATTAATTAGTTAAAGTGCATACTTTGAATCGCCATGGCGAGATCGTCGTATTTGATGCAATTCTGCAGTTAAATCAGTATTGAGATTTAATACACAGTGATGTAATGAGGCGGGTAATGCATTTCGCGTTAGATATTGAGAAAAACCATGGCCAATGCGGCAAATCCTTAGCATTTTGTCTTGAATCGAATAATGCTTAAATTTTAGATAGCTTTTATTGATTTACTTAGCATTTTTCATATTTTTTAAATATTATATTTATTTCTGGAGAAGTTGAAATAAAAACAACTTAATTTAGATTGTCAAAATTTGACATTAAATTTACAGATTAAAAATTGCCGTCTGTACCATAAAAATAAAACATCATCATCATCATCAGCCTATCGAAGTCCACTGCTGGACATAGGCCAACAAAAACATAAAACATAATTACCGCTAATCTAAGCGCTTTATCAGGTGTAGTATTATTTATAATAAAAAAGCCGTGTGGTGTCATGGGACACCCGATAGGAACGAAGTTGTGACTATCTAGTAAAACTGATTCGACACGATTTTAATTACAACGCCATCTACGAAAGCGGCTATTACCTACATATTTTTCAGTGGGTTTCTAATTAAAACAATTTATACATTGGTAAAATCTCCTTGAGAAATGATTTCCTATCTATTCGATAGATGGTGCTGAATGACTGAAAAGTGACAATTCAAAATAAACACTGAGATGAAAAGTAATTATTTCCTATCTATTCGATAGATGGCGCTGAATGACTGACATAAAAAGTGTCGTTGCAACTTTTCGTGAGATTTTTTTCCGTCTAGCCCCCTTTCACAACGCGCGATAAGGAACTTCGTTCCAATATTTTATGCATTTTATTTTGGCGTGATATTTCCACGGTTGGTGTCGGTGTGCAGGCACACCGTGTGAAATAATTAAGTATGTTATGATCCCTTGTTACCGCGTGATGTTTGGTCACAAGCACTAAAAAATAACTTTAAAAAAAATCATCCACTTTAATGCCCCTACACAATGATAAGTTGTTACAAACTGTTCACACAGAATATTTTAATAGGACCATTCGAGAAAGATATACTCCCAAATAAAAATGAAAAGAATTTACCAAATAGGTTCATCATCAACCGCTTTTAATACTTAAATACGCTTTTATAGTTAAACCGCCGTAAGCTTGGCCCTCCTGATGGTTTGCGGGACGCGGGGCGGGTAATGCGCTTGGCTATACATGACACGATGTACTAACTCGATATCTTCAGATTTATTTGTTTGAGATTTAATCTACACACGATGTAATAAAAATCGAATTTATTTCCATGTATTATAATGTCAGTGTATTGTAAGTTTTTATGATTAATTGTAAAATTTAATACTGTAAAATAATTTTAATAAAATCACCTTATCTTCATCATGTAAATTATATTCAGATACCATTTAAAAATTAAGTAAAATAATAAATATTCTTTATTAGAACTTTAACTGTAAGCCGAACTTCAAGTTTTTAAATCTTTTTGTGACGCAGTGAGTCGGCAGATTATCCATATTGCAAAATAATACCGTGTGTAGCAGTCTTAAGAAAAATAACACGTACAGCCATGCTTTCACGTCAGTCACTGCTGGCGGACAGCGACGCACTTGCTAATTGGTTGAATGCATCCCTGCCCCGCGTCCCCCGAACCATCAGGAGGGCCAAGCTTATGGCGGTTTAACTATAATATATAAGTAGTACTGCTGGACATAGGCGTTCTACTTGGAAAGAAGGTTTTGACCATGCCAAGACGTTTAAAAAATACAACGCTTTTAATTACAAACCCGTATAAGTCCTTTTAAGAATTTATTAGATTTGTGTACCATTATATGTTCTTTGCATTGGACTATTAAAGGCTGTTGATGTGATGTGATATGTTCTTTTGCCATTGACATTTAAAATTATACAACGCGAAAGTTTGCTGACTGCATACAAGTTGTATGCAGTCAGCAAAGTTTCTATTAGATCAACTGTCGATTGGGGGTCAGGAGTTATGTGGAACTCGTGAGCCGTGCAACATGTTTGGAAACCATTCAATTATTGCACCACAAAGAGGTAAACGTCAGAGGACCAGATGTGTGCTGTTCTTTATATTGGCATATTTTTTATAGGTAACATTATTAAAACTGCTTTATGCATCTATTATATTTGCTAACTACTTACCGTTGCCTATAGGTCAGAAGAAAGAAGAACCTAAGAAGCCGACTGCAATGGTGTGTGTGGTGCTACACGCCATTGCAGTCGGCTTCTTAGGGCGCTCTGAATACTCGTAACTTACCTGAACATTACTATGTAGATTTTGCAGTCTTCGGTATGATGGAGATGTTGCTATAGTCCTTGATCCCGGCGCCAGGGACTTCCTTTCTAGGGTATACCTGGTTCCCCGGCTATTAGTACCCGAGACGGCGTGCGGTTTTAGTCGGTTCGAGTCCGACATGCCACCGACAGGTGGTATCCGAGGGGATTTCCGCACGGAAAAAAAAAAAGAAAAAAAAAAAAACAAAACCCTTGATCCCATTAAAAAAAACATTAGGTACTTTTATTATGTAATTTTCACATAATTAGCAAAAGTTTATAATGTTCTATATTCTTGCGGTGTTAATGCTGTGTATGTATGTGAAATATCGTTCAAGAGCCATGCTTCGGCACAATAGGCTAACTCAACCGAAGTGCTGCCTCGGCCTCCTAGAAGACCGGCTTTAAGCAAAATACTTTTCACCGAGCGAGTCAGGTTGCCGGAGGCCCTACAAGACTGCTCTCTCCTAATTCTGGGTTGCACTCAAAAGGTGGCAACTAGTGTCACGCCGAACGCAGTTGCCGTCGAGAGAGAGTTGATGTGAAATAAACTTACCCTAGGACCCAGGTGACCTTGTGGCCGCGGGTGGACGGGACGGTCTAGAAAGCGATAACTACCTGGACCCCCCTAAAATAGAAGCGCAAAGAGTGGTTTTAAGTCGTGTGGTTTTAAGTCGGTTCGAGTCCGACACACCGCCCCGCCGAATAGAAAGCTCCGGCGGGGTGACGGTCCGAGGGGATTTCCACACGGTAAAAAAAAAAGGGCCCCATGTGACCTGTCTGCTTGTTTACTGTACGTGAATTTGTACGCAACACTTAGATATACTACTAACAACATTTTTTGTTTTGACAAACGACAATGGTTCTTCTGCTTTTTCCTTGAATTGTGTTGAGCTAAAACTTTAGGCTATTAACGAACTGTCAGTCATTGTGACCCATCATCCAGATGTTGACGGCGGCTCAATATGCCGTGTCTAATTGTTAACAGTTAATTTTACAACAAAAGGGAATTTTGTTGGGCTAAAATGCAGAACCACAAAAAATATAGTCAGATTTTAGCCAGAATACGGAATAGTAGCATCGCTTGCTTGCATTCTGTTAAGATATCTCTTTCTTTCCATTGCCTGGTATTTAAAAAATGATGAAGCAACGAAGCAATTTCTTCGTTGCTTTCCACCTAGTGAGTGAGGTTACCAGAGGCTCGACCTCCCTACTCTAAATCTGGAAGGGGGCTTGAAGGGTGGCAATCCAAGCGTGTCTCTTGACTATCTTTAATGTACAAAGTTTCTGGTTAACAATTATACTTCCTTGCTTTCTTATGCAGAGAAGCTTATGAAAGCATATCACATCCATGTAGAAATCAGATCAGCTTCTCCAGGGATAAGCAGATTTCAGAACCTTTGATACCTCGTTCAGTAAAATTGGATTACTGATCCTAATCTCATATAATAGGCCGAGACCTAGCTACAGCTTTCGGTCACTTATCTAAAGTATCCTTCTTACTTCGAATAAGTTGGAACTAGTGATTGAGTATCTTATAATAATAATTCGGACATCAACGCCAACTAGTTTCAAACTAAGCAGAGCTTTTACTATAAATACATAAGTACATACTATATATAGAAAACACCATAACTTCGAAACAAATATTTATAGATTATACATATATTTTATTTCTTGGGTCCAGCTTTATACAACAAAATGAGTCGAAACTGTTCAATTAACAACCTATCACATCACAACTTCAAAAAGGCGTTAAATACATTTCTGCAAGATAAAACCTACGAGGAAACTGAAAACTATCTTTATACGTATGATACATAAAACACACACACACCACCGAGGCAGTCCCATAGTATGTAACTTTACCTATTGTCATTTTAAGTCTTTATATCTACAACTTTAAATATATACAGAATAGTATAGCAGGTACTTCCCTTTTTTTTTTTGAAAATCCCTTCGGATCTCCGGCTCGTCGGGTACGCAGAAGCCAAGAGTATGTGGTGATTCCACTAAAAACCACCTCGACGGTCGGAGTCAGGCGCCCTACTCCGAGGAGGAACCGTTACTTCAGGTTCCCCTGGATGGACGCCGCGCCAGCATATAGGTACCTAACCAGCATATACATTTAAGGCAGGATTTGCCTGTTGGTCTAGTTTAAGATGAGGTCGTGGTATCAGTCCGGTCGCGCTTGGTCCATAATATTATGTGCCGAAGCATAGCTCGATCACGGTAATCACACATAAATTAATTACACATTACTTATAAATAAATATTTTTACAATTTAAAGGAATACCGAAATGACGAAGGCTGATGAGATTTATAAACAGAATATTTTTGAAGAGAAAGCTAAACACATCACAATAACATCACATGAAACCTCAACCATCAGGTCATTACTCATCAAGTAAAAAATATAACAAAAAACGTTTGAGATTATGTCACCCCAAGCCGAATTATTTTTCCTTCCGAATATAAATATTAGGGGCTGTAATAAAAGAAATTGCTATTCTTCTACCGTTCAAGCAAAAATTAGAATATTAAAGTGAATATTTCTTGGCTATATCCGTTTAATTTGGTGTTTTCATTATACCTAATGCTTTAACTTGTAATTTTCATTATTAATTTATACTTACCATAGACCTAGTTGGTATTTCAAACTGATTATAAACCGTATTACTAAAAATAAAAAGGTTTAATTGTGCGTGTGTCTCAGGGATACCCTTTTAGTTTCAGAGTCGATGGAGACACTTTTTCAGGTAGCGGAATGTCGTGTAGTGTCAGTCATTGAATTGGTGTAGCTGCCATAGATTCTTTTGATGTAAGAACCTTACGTTGGA